CCCATGCTCTCCCTCCGCCGGTATCACGTGTCGCCATCATACTCATTGGGAGTCTCTGCCTCGCCTGTCGCCACGTTTCGGGAGCAACGAGGACACTTCGTTGCCGTCCTCTACGCGCCCTCCTCGCTCCCACCGTCCCCTCCGAGGAGGAGGAGCGCTCCATAGCTCGGATCAGACGAAAGGCCCCAACCCCAAACGCCCTACCCCTCGTCCGCGGGAGAGGCAGCTGGGGAGCAGTCGGGCCCCGGCGGGTGCTGGAAGGGAGAGGGGCGCGCGGCCAGGGGCGGAAGACCTCCCTGTGAGCCTCCTCGGGGAAGTCAGAGAGCTCGAAGTGGGGGACGAGGGTCCATATTTGTCCTTTGCCCGCCTTCCTCCGACTTTATTTAGTAAGTTCTGAGGCGCAGGGGAAATGTCGAGCGGTCCAGCCCGCCCATTCCAGAGGAGACGCTTACAAGGGAGGGGAAGGGGCAACATATTGGCACCCATCCTGCTGGAGCTGCTCGTGGGGACGAATGTTCTCCGCCTGGGGTCGAGGCCGCGTGGGCTCCGAGCGAGCCCAGAGCCGGGCGGCAGGGAATGAGGACAGCGTCTGCTCGGGCGAGAGCCCTGTTGCTGAGCGTCAGCCCGGCTGGGCGCGCGGGGCTCCTGGCTCCCGCCGGCTCCGCACTAGTGCTGGACAGCTCCGCGTGCCACCTGCAGCCGCGTTTGCCGGCGTCGCGAACTGGGGGACAGTTCCTCTACGGACTCCACTACCTAGGACCCGGCTGGGGGAAGACCGGAGAGTGAGCACATGTCCTTCATTCTCTAGGCTCTTTACGCCAGATATGCGATCTGTTTGCACTTGGCTGCAAATTCTGCTCGGAAAGCTAAGGGGAGTGGGGAAGAAAGGCTTTTCAAAGCCCAGGAACACTCGCCACAGCGCGAGCTTCTCTCTCGCTGAGAGTTTGCGGTGGAGCTGCTTCATTCCAAAGCTTGCCTCAGGGCAAACCAGCAGCCGCTCTCAGCGCCCAGCCCCACTGCGCTTCCTGTACCTGCAGAAAAGCCTGGGACTTGTTCTGACATTAGACTAAGGGATGGGAAGAAGGGGCAAATAAAGAGTATCCCAGAAGAGGGGTCACAGGCTGCACTTCCCCCTGCAGCAAAGCCGATGAGCACTCTCCCCGCGTTTCCCTTCCGCGGAAAGAAAAGTTCAGGGGCTCTGGCTTTAGCTCCCCAAGGATACAGAAGCCAAAGCGTCTGTTTTAAGGGACTGGTCCCTCCAAGGCGAAGGCAGATGGGTTTGTGGATTGTGTTTATTTAAAAAAACAAAACAAAAAAACAAACCTTTGCTGTACCCCAGCCCCAATTTGCTTTTAACTCTAAATCTTCCTGGTTGTTTGTGAGGACCCAAATAAATATAAACGCTGTTTGAGGTTTCCTTTTATATTTTGGAAAACTCTACTAAATTGATTCAGAGATATGCCTAATTCTCAGATTTTATATAGGCATTTAAGATACGAAAAGTGTGTGCTATCACTCACATGCTCCCGTTTAAAAATATATTCTTTCTCAACCTGCTGAGTAAGTTGCTAACTGCATAGTTTCTCCTCTTAGCAGAGGAAATTCAGGCCTCTCTTTTAAAATAATAATGGTTATTACTATTATTATTATTATTTTGATTGTGTGGTGTATCTACTGTTGATTTCCTCATTACTGCACTTCTAATTCTATATGCATAATTCTATATGCATTTGTTTCCACTGGAAATTAGACACAAATTATACTTTTTATCATAAAGAATAGTCATCAATTCTGCTAAAAAGTTTCACTGGCCTTTTTTTCCCTCAAATACAGTGGATGGCTCCTTTGAAAATTACATTACTCCACATTTGGGGAAACTGTTTAATATTCTTGCTGTGCAGTATCGATCATAGCCTAATAAGTTGGAGTTCTTCATCCTCATCTTTAATAATGGTGATGTAATTGTCAAGTTCTTTAGAGTCATACAGTTTTAGAACTTCTATTAAGGATACTAAAGCATATGCCCTTCACATTATTTTAATAAACTCCTGCTGCGTGCATGCATACACACACACACACACACACACACACACAGAGGGTTCTATTATATTAATGGTAAATAACCTTTGCCATTGAACTTAAAACCATAACTTTTACTAATCATTCCAAATCTCGTTTATCTCAAAGTCAAAATGACCGAGTGCAAAGCAATGAGTATCATTTGTTTCTAAAATTGAGAAGAGGCCCAAGAGTCTTCCTGTTTACGCTGGAAGTTTATTGCCAGAAAGAATTCTAAACCTATGGGACATTTTTCCTTCGTGTGAACCATTTGAATCAAAGACTCTTTACAGAATCTGGCCAGATAAAGTGGTCTTACAATTTTCCATTTGAATTAGCCTGCCTTTGATCATGATTTTCCCACTGATTTTTAAACTATAAACAAATGGAGGCCTAGACATTGACAGTACATCATCTGTATTACTTTTAAGGGTTTCCTTTGTATTTCTTTTCAGAAGCAGGGTTCAAAAGCTCTCAATATGAAGAGTGCTGTGTTCTATACTACTTGAATTAACATTTTTAAAAGGACCTAATAAGTTTAAATAACCTATTCTCCATAAAAAATTTTTAAAAGCCTTAGAGCTAGTAAAAGGAATCCAAACACTTTAGGAAAGAGTAGTCCACTGAAAATGAAGAGTTTGTGCTCTGATTTTAGAAACAGAAACTTGCACAGACTCATCCTCACAAATTCAGCCTTGCTGGATATATTGTGTTTCAATAAATTCCTCAAAGCCCAGTCCTCTACTGGAAAAGCAAAAGGCAGGAATGTACTTGGTTTGTTTGTGAAGTCGGTGAGGGCACCTGAGGGCTCACTTCACGTTGATCAAGAGCTGGGAAGGACTCCTTAAGAAAGCAGATTCTCCACCTTAATTAAGATGGTGACTATTTCCCCTTTAAACATACAACAACTATTGTTGTACATGCCTTACCTTCATATACAGTATTGCTATTTGTAAACTCCTTTCACTTACCCTGCCTCATTTAATTTGATTTTCATCCTCCCCACAGAATTGGTTAAAGAAAAATCACCTCTGTCGAATTCAAATAAAAACTACAATCAGTCTCCACTCCCCAAATTCTTTGCATTTTAGAGCTCTCAACTCTTTCCTAATTTCTTTTCATCCATCTAAGTCTCTAGCAAGACAACCTGCAACATCTGCCTAAGGATTCCCTGGAGCAGAGCTCTTGCCTGATATCAGAAGACTAGGAAATCTCTCCCTGTAGTCAATCTTTACATAAATCTGGCAACTCACAGGAACTGTGCACGTAACATTAAAGCAAATTCTCTAAAGAAATATAGATGCTGGTGAATTCTTAACTAGGGCAAATTTTTCTGGATCCCTAACCTAGAAAATTACACGCGCACACACACATACACACACATTCCTCACCTGCAGGTTAACCCTATGTCCATGTTCCCTGAATGAGATATGTCTATACCGCCCACTTTCTCATACTCTCTTTTTTAAAGAGGGCCAACATACTTCCTCAGTGAAAGATAGTGAACAAATAAGAGTGGAGACACTATGCTTCATATTCTTGCATAATTTTGTAAGTAAAATTAAATATTAAAGATAATATCAAAATGTGAAGAACCAGCTGCTTTATTCATATACAAAGGGACACGTGGACGGCAATGCAACCCATCTACCTATGGTTCAGTTTCATCACAAAACCATCCTGAAGGGATAGGGTACTTGTTGCTCAAAACAAGAAGAAGGGGGATGAGGCCGGGAAGAAATAAAGGAAAGCAATAAAGTCAATGCAGCACTTAGTAGAATTTGTACCACAAAGATACTTACGAGTTATGAGTGGGATGACTGCCTCGTTTTGATGCCACCATATCCAAGAAAGCACGAAAGAGGAAAAATAATCAGTGTCTTTTGGTGCCTCTGGCAGAAAACACTCTCTTCCTTAAGTGGCTTTAAGTGGCTTTGCACTCTTGACCATGCACTGCAGAAATCCATCCTCCTCTGAGGAGAGACCCTAAAGTCAATGCCTCCTACAATTCCCAGCCTTTTTGTCTTCAGCATCATTAGCTCTGTACACACTTGTGGTTGGCATTCTTTCTCAGGTACTAAATGCACACTATATTAGAAGATTGTTGTGCCTTTCTCTACATGTTTTTGGAGACCGCAATATTGCCCTTACATGTCTAATAAGAGCAATATTTTGTCAATAAGTGATTCGACTGTGTCTACAGTAGTCTTTAATCATTTTCTTAAATACTTCTTTCCACCTTGTACCCAAACCTTTGCTTTCTAAATCTATGTAAGAAAAGGTGAATTAACATTTGCTGAGAATCTACTATGGAGCAGGGTCTGTTTGCTTGTTGCTTCATTTAATCTTTACAATGTGTTTTCCCAATTTTACAGATATAAAAACTCTTGCACAGAGATTTTAAATATCTTCCTCAAGGTCATGGAGCTGATACACATTAGTCAGAATTCTAGTCCTTACAATCCTAAGCCCATGCTATCTCCATTGAAACACAGTTCCTGCTTGTCCCTGGTAATTGTCCTCAAATGTCCTAAAAACAGAGAAAAACAAATCTGATGAATTAAAATCACAATGTGAGTGGTTTATTGCATTACCAATAAACATTACATACACAATTAACATGTTGGAACTATTCCCTGGAACACAATGTCATGAAAAGCACTGATCTGTGCAGAAGCTCTACTTTCTAGTAGCTACTCTGCTAATAACTAGCTATGTGACCAAAAGCAAGTTGCTTAATCTCTCTGGACACAGACCCCTCACCTCTAAATTAAAAGGGCTGGGTTAAATCTCTAGGGTGTCATCAATGACCAATATTTTATAATTTTTCTATTTGAGGAGTTACTCCTTTTCTTTTTAGACATATCTTGTGCCTAGAAAAATTTCCCGTCACACATCTTAAGGCCAGCTTCTCTTTTTCCTCCCTATCTTATCCTCTCTGAGAATGCAGTTCTCCTGCAAACCCCTCCATATATGAAGCTGCCATGAACACTGCCCACGGAATTAAATGGATAAAAAAGAAAAATTTCGACTCAATTGTATTTGGTTAGATGTTCACCATCTCTCTGTCTTTTCATAACCTAATTCTTCTGTCTGCTTTATTATATTATAGAAAGGAATCATATCCTCCTGTCTGCAACTTATTAGGTTTGACAGTTAACAATAATAAGTATGAATTATCAATGAGTGTCTTGATATAACCTTGTTAATGTTAATAGACATTTACTTAAATATGTCCAATTTGTCATGAATATGCAATCTGTTATTTAATTATTATTTTAAAATAATGAATTTATTTTTAAAAAATCCAATGTTAATGTAAATACTAGAATTCTTAAAAGTGTTAACTTTAAGAATGAAATGTTGTGCCCTTGTCACAATATAAAATAAACATTAGCAAAATGTTACCAATAATGATTAAATGTCAG